TTAAAATATATTTATCTTAGGTTTCAGGTCTCTTTAGTATAATTTTCATCAGTTCTGTACAAACTGAACTCACTGGTAATTTCAAAGGATTTACAGTTTTAAACATTGAGCATGATCAGAAAATACAAATTTTTCTATGGTTTTAACGTTTAAGGTTTTATCTGATCCTTCAGTATTAGCCACTCACAAAATGTAGATCAAAGCACAGTTATTATTCAAGACTACATCTGACGTGTTATAAAAATTCTAATCCATATAACCCTATAAAGATAATTAGTTTTATAAATGGAAACAGTAAATATGTGACAAACTAGTAACTTTGGGTACATTTCTCTTAATTTTGGAATAATCTAAGAATAAGCTAATGGTCAACGCTTTGTGAAGTAAGCTTGATCCATTTTATCTTAATCAAACTTGTTGATACTTAATTTGCAAAAAATACACATACTTTCAATATACATACCTGGAACTATTTTGATGGTATACAAATCTTAAGATACATTGTCCGACACTATGTTAGAATGAAAAATTCATCAACTACACAATGGAAATTATATAAAATAAGTCTTACAATGTGAATAAATAGTTTTAAGAGTCCTGGAAAGAAAAATACAGTTGTATCTTTTGAGCTTTCCCTACCTCCATGCCTAGTTGAGATTTTGAAACAAAGGTGACTAACAAAGAACCCTTGTGATTTTCCTCTGTGGACAGAGTACAATATTGTCTTGCAAGGCCATTCTTAGTGCCATGATGTAGATTAATATTTTAGAGGCTAATGTAAGGTTATTAAATGAGCAATCTAAACGGCAATATAAAAATATTTCTCGTTATTTTACAGTATAAAAGATCAACCAAAAATTCTGTCTAGATCTAGCAACTTAAAATTCCAATGTTATTATCTTACAATAGGAAGAAAATGGCTAAAAGGAAAGTGGGAAGGGGAGGGGAAAGGAAATAAGGGAAAAGAAAATATGTGAAAGCAGGAAAAAATGGAAACAAAGTCTTTGTAAATAGGGAAGGGTGAAGGGGGTGGAGGGAAGGCAGGGATATGGAGAAAAAGCAAGAACCAAGACCTGTCATGGAAAGGTACAAGATTCCAATGATAAATGGAACTGTATTGTCTGCTTCAAATGTGCCAATAACCTTAATGGGGAAAAATAAGTAAAATTAATTTTATGCAGTCAAATGCTTTCTGTTTTTGTAAGCCTGTCTCGAGATATCAATATGGGGAATGATTTACAAACTTGATATTGTTATCAGTGCCAGCATTCCTCACTATTATCACGAAGTAAGAAGGCTGTGGAACAAGGGATAATTGTAAAGATAAATGAAAAAGGGCCTGGGAAGCGAATTGGCAGTTCCTCAATTATTTACAATTTGGGATGATGGATCGTGACATCCCGGTAAGTAAGATGAGAACAGACAGATAGAGAGTCCTGAAAAGAGATATTGCATGGATGGCTGGGCAGCCCTCTGGGAGGACCCAGGGATGACACTGCGGCAGCGATACTCTGAACGGCCCACTCTGTCTGAACACGCGTCATGGCTGCGCCGTGGCACTCACACCGCTACCGGGGAAAATGCCATTGGCACAAATAATGTAGGCTTTGATGATGCTACTTACAGGTTTTCCAAGAAAGTACAACTCTCTTGAAACTACTAACCACTACACAATATTTTATAAGCAATACTATAACAGAGCTTAGTTATAAATAATATAGAGCTTGTGTCAACAAATCTGAAGACAAAGAATTATTTTATGAATTCTGTGTATGTAAAGCACCTTGCCATAAAATTCATTTTCCCTGAGATTATTACCTCAAGTCGCCTTCTGAAAGTGAATTTGCTCATGGGTGATTTTTATTTATTTATTTATTTTTGGTACTGGGGATCCAGTTCAGGACCTTGCACTCTGTGAGGCAGGCAGTGACACCACTCAGCTAAATCCCCAGCCCAGGCAATACATTTCTTAAGAAGAGATATTATGATATGAAACATGATATTGCAGGAAAATTTTAAGCAATGCTATTACAGATTTTCAGAATTATACATGAATAGTTTTCCTATCGTCTGTCCTTAGTAGATTCTGGTTTGGATGTCATCATTTGGAGCTGTTAGGATTGTTTAAAAAAAAAACTTCAGCTCAGGATTTATCTCAGTGGTTCCACCACCTGCCTTGCAAGCTCAAGGACCTGAGTTCGATTCCAGATACCAAAACAAGAAACAAAATATTCAAAATATTAAATAATTTGACAGCATTGCTGATGAAAACAACAAAATAACACCTAAAAGATATAGAAGTAGTTGATAGTAAAATTTTGCATAATGAAATGAAATATATACACTCCTGCACTGTGTGCAATAAAATGAACAGAAACTGAAAGAAAATACAATTGCAGGTGTACTTAGGAAAATATGAATTATTACACATTTGTATAAATGAATCAGAACATTGAATTTACAGAATATAACATTCAAACTTTAATCTTTTCAGGGTAATAAATTGCCTGTGTTCTATTTCTACTTATATTGTATCTTATAAAGAATAAACATAAATAGAAGGAAGAAATAATGGTATGTAACAAGCTCTTAACACAAATCCCAACTTAGTGAATTCTGTAGAGTATAATATTTTTAAATCATTAAGACCATCCAAAAGTATGCTTAATTCACTTTACCAATGTATCAAACTTGCCAAAAAGGCAAAATATTATAGTGATTTTCAAAAATAGAAATGTGACCTGCACTTTGATACTTTTCTTATCCCTCTTCATTTCAGCATGCTATCCACAGTGGTTTCCTAACCACTTATTAAAAATTGAAAGGCAGTAGCTATAAACTCTTAGAAACACAATAAGCTGCCCACTTAGAGCAAGGAGATGTGGACTTTTTTTTTCATGTTTGCCTGGAGTTGCTGAAAATCACCTATATCTTAATCTACTCAATTCTGATGGGTGGTTGTAGCATACCTGTCCATTTCAGCAGTAATTGAAACCAAGGTTTTGAAGTTAAAATAAAAAATTTCATCCTTGCCACAGTGACAAGTATAGTTTTGTGAGAAAAATGTAGTTGAATATCCTTCACTCTCTTTAGTTCCTCATGAAACAAACCAAGAGAGTTGTCTATGACAAGTCCTTGAGCTTATAAGTAATTTCAAAAAGTGAAAAATCTCATAAAGGTGACAATTTTATATTAAACACAATGCATATTATAAATCAAATTTCAACTGTATAATAATTTTTTGCAATAATTTTCATGCTATGCCACCATTTAAATGACAATTAAATTATAGTATGGAACAGTACACTAGATATGATAAAAATAAAGATTACTGAATTCAATATTATAATAATAATAGATATGTGTCATAATTCCTTAGTACAGTAGAAGATATCTAACTCAGTAAGAGTAATTTTGACCTAATAAAAAACTTTTATTTTCATTTTTTTTCTACTGTTTTTTCCCTAAATCTCCAAAGAAAAAATCTGGTAAGCTACATTAATGTTAGTTACAAGGACACATATCCTTATCCCCATCTACAAGAGTAGAAAGTATTTAATTTGTAGGAGGAATGCTGTAGCCCTTTTTCCAACTGTTACTCAAGTATACTAACTCCTGCTTATTTACCCTCCTTGTTAAACAAAATTCATTACTATATCTAATTGGAAAACATGTTTCTATATGCTATTTGTTTTTCGTTCATTTTATTTAGGTATGTATTTATGTATTTTTGTAGTATTAGTGGGGGTTGAAACCTGAGGCACTCCTGTCACTGAGCTATAGCCCCAAAACTTTCCTAAAAATATTTAGAGAAAGAATCTCACTAAGTTGCTCAGGCTTGCGTTGGATGTTCAGTCCCCCTGCCTCAGCCTTCCTAACAGCCAGGATTACCAGCAGGCACCATCACACCTCTATTGGCTTCTATACCACTAACCAACATATTCAACTCATAAAACCAGATCTCAAAAAGCATGGGAAACTGATGCTTGAAGCATTTCTAGTGTTCTTAACTCACTACCAGAGAACTAAAAAGTAAATGAATTTTTATTTCACCAGAGGGTATGGCTAACAGGTCCAAAGTACCCCTGTGTGGCTTAGAGGGTGCCAGGCCAACTTCCAAGAAGAGTTGTATATGTCCTGATTACTGTGACCTCAACCTTTGACAGGATCAGAGCTAAATGAAGGGTTAAATGCCAGGTGCTTCGGGTACATTAACTCTAACATTTCTTTCCCAGTTGATCACTTTGTCTTACGTGCACACACAAATACATGTACATAACCATGGAAGAAATAGAGCCCATAGTTTTCACATTTGATCTTAGCCAAAAGGCTGAGAAGCAATAGAGCCTATAGCTTTCAACTTGTGTGACCAGAAAGAAAAGCCATTGGTTCTTTCTGTTTTTTCTTTTTGCTATGTGCAAATGATCAAAATATCAGCAATGCCCAAAATGATTTCAAATCCATGCAATTAAAACATAGCGAATGTTTGATGAGATTTTTGGAAAGTGCAAATCCATGAGTTAAAACCCAGGACTTTTCACCATAATTAACCACATATTTACCGATTTCTTTGCAATTTCACTGTAATGCACATTCAAGAACTTAAAAAGTTTTACATAGTGACATGGTACTTTAAAATTGCACAGTTTGATTAGCTAGTAGTACTTGTTTGTCCTGGTTTTACATTACTTAGCAATACATACTAATATCCATTATGTCCTAAGAATTAGCCCAGGTTTATACTTTCATAATTCTCAGAACTGGTGATACTTCACTGATTTCTCATGAGAAGATGTCATTTTTGGGTTTTTTTTTCTGTCATTCATTTAAAATAAACAAAACTTCCAAGAATGCATGCCCTCCACTAACTAAAATTTCATTTTCAATTTCCCTTGTGTGCTTCTCAATTCATTGACATTTCTCTCCATTTATCATAATAATTACACCAAATCATATCTCAAAGCAAATACTTCCAAAGAGTATAAAAGTCATGCACTCACAGTGTGTGATTTTCACAGTCCGCTTGGCCTCTCCACTGCCTGATCCCTCACAGCCATCTTCATCGTCACAGTCTCCACTGACCTGCTCCACCACGCCGCCACCGCTGCCCAGCGCAAGAAGCTCCCACTTGTCAGGCTTGGGCGACCTTCCCTGCAGCAGCTAGATGTGGACACCAAGAAATGTTTCTGATAGCTAATTCAAATCTTCTAAGAACTCTACTCAGAAATTTATGCTAGAAAATACAATGATTCTGTTTTGTATCCACTGCATTAATGCATATACTTAACCCAATCAAAACTTTAAAATATCAAAAACAACTGAAATAATAATAAACAACAGGCAAAGTTTTGTATTCATAAAGAGTTACAATCTTCATATTAACCCTGTAACTAGGCTTTGCAAAGCAAATAAAATCAGGCCTTTTGGCTTATAGTAGCTTGGAAATCTTGTTTCTTATTAAGCAATATTGGTTTGTTTTGTAAACCAATAGTTCAGAATTCCTCAAAAATATCTTTCCAGAAAAGAATTCTATCAAAAGAATCAAGAATTTTGGACATATACATTTATAGCTTCATTGAATCTATGTCAGGTTAATATATAGTCCAGTACACATGATACATAACAGTATTGGAACAAATCATGTAAGTCCTACTTGCATTTCTACAAATCATAATAGAAACTTAGCTAACTTCTTGGTCTTGTTTCTCAATTATTTCATTCACATTTATGTGTAAAATAGAATAGCCATTTGTCCCACATAGCATAGGGATGCTGGCAATATTTTAATAGTATTGGAAATAGGTGAACTTCTTTCCTAAAAGTTGATGTTATGAATAATAAAATATTTTACTGAAAGCTAAAGCTGAATAAAATAATCCGAATTGTGACATAAACTCCTCTAAGGCAGTTTTGGAGAACACATGACCAAGCATAATGACTGCAGGGCACTGCCATATTATGAATGAAATATATGCCCGTTGCCTACTTAGCAGATATTCAAATTCTCATGGTGCTTTATGAAATATTTAAGGTTGACACTTCTGCAACTTTCCAAAAAATAGTTTCAATTTACAGATGGTCATTAAACACATAACCCAAAGATAGCATTTCCTATTGAAAAACATAGAGTGAAACAACCTCAGTACACCTAAGAAAAATATGTTTAATATTTTAAGAATACTTGAATTAAATAACTGGATGTGGACATTCATAAACTTCAAGATTCACATATTCTGAAATACTACAATGTTTTTCAAAATTTAATTTAGACAACACCTAAATGCTAAAGCAATTTGACAAAGATTTAAAATTTTTATTTTTCTTCACCAGCATTTCTCACACATGCTCACAGGTGTTAAACTTAGAAGAAAGGTTCTTCTGAGGTTATATGAATTTAATATACATATGTTTAAAAAATGCTTGTTCACTGTGTTTGACACAATGATGTGTATAGTTACTTCTTGGAAAGCGGCAACAGGTCTGCGATGATGAGGAAACACCTATATGTACCAAAAACATAAAAATTCTAATCTGAAAAAGGAAGAGTAAAAACAAATGGCTTTATTTCATACTTTTTATTAGTTATTTTGAAATATGCCATTTATCAAGTATTTAAAATCACCATAAATGTCTGAGACTCCAAAGTCTGACGTACTTAGATATGAATCCTAATTTTTTTTTAGTACCAGGGATCGGACTCTGGTCCTTGCGCTTGCAATGCAGGCAGCTGAGCCATTTAGCTAAATCCCCGGCCCATGAATCCTAATTCTGACACACACTAACTGGGAGACAGAAGACTGAGCTAAATTACTGAACAAGTGGATTCCTTCGCAACTAAAGTAAAGAAAGTAACTTATGTATTTCATTGTTCATGTTCTGAGAAAAACAAATGTGCTTTACAAAAACTTAATGTGCCAGGGAATTAAAATTTAATACATTTTGATTATTAATTTCCACTTTATTAAATATTCTATTAAAGTATTTTAAACACTCAGAACACATTAATCAAAAGAGTTATTTCATAAACAGTCCTATTACATGACTTACATTAAAATTTTTCAAAGTATAATCTGACAAGTACAGCAATTTTAAACTCTGTGGTGCGGTGTTGTTCACCTTTTGACTCTAACATCCTTTTCCAATACTTGCCCATATCAACTTTATCATCCCTTTATTTCCCTAAGAATTCCTGCAGCATTTTCCTGGGCTCTTTGCCAGGGCACAGATGGAATCTCAGGAACAACACTGACAACGTGTGAACCATGAAGACCCAACCCAAAGAATTTGAACTCAAATAGGCAAACAGAAAGATAGTCCACATGAAATGAAGCTATTTCAAGAAATCCGTTTTAGTTTAGTCGTTGAATATATTCACTATAGCGACTTGTAAAAAAATAGAGAATATTTTAGAAACACCTGTTTTCTACATTTCAACATCACTTGAGTGACATTGTTCTACAAATCCAAAGTACACATACTCCAGTTGTTAAAAAACAGGACTATAAAACTATTTTGTAATATAATTCAGAGTATCTGCGCTGAGCAGATCTGAACAAAGGACCTCAAGACTTTCCACTCTAAACTGTAAACGTAATATACTTTACTATTATCTTACCCAGCAAAAGGTATTTTGTAAATGTAACTAATGTCATTACTAGGTGATGTGAGGTTTACTGAAAGTAAGATTGGGTGGGATTAAAAGAATCACAACTATTCCTTTAAAAAGAACGTTTTCTGCATCATCAGAATCAAGGCATTCAAAGCAAAAGGGCTTCATGGAGTTGGGTACAGGGGATCAAACTGCCACTCTTGAAGGTGTAAGCTGGCTGGGTCTATGACAAAGAGTTAGGCTACCAGTGATCTTTAGGCTCTAAGTACAACGATATCTGCCTTCCTTCCAGCAAGGAACCGGGGCCCTCCTAGAAGAACCTGCAACTTGTGTCAAGTGTGGCTGACGGCATGATTTCAGCCTGGAGCAACTGTGAGCAACGAGCCCACCCAGATATCTGATCTATAAAACTGCAAGGTAGTAAATGGTTGTTGTCTCAAGCTGATAGATGTGTGGTCTTGCTATGCAGCAAGAGAAAAATAATAAGCTCTCTAACTCCCAGTTGGACCACATTTATGTCTTGAAAATTTGATTTGATATCTTTTGATTCTATCACACATTCTTCAGAACAAGAGGTCAAAATATTCATAAGACATCAGCCTATGTGTAAGACGGCACCTTGGAAACAAGCTCTCACATTTCAGCTCCGTGCTAGTTTTAATTCACTGTGCCTCTTTATAAACCCTTTCACTGTTTTTCTTGAGCAAGATATACAATTGTTGCTCCCTCTGATTAATTCATCCAAACACAGAGTCTGCCAAAACAACGTATACACCAGGAAAAGAAGAACTTGTGTAATTATTTCAATGCTAAATTTGTTAAGACATCATGAGATTAATACAAGTAAACTTTGGCCTTTACAGTTACAAGAGGCGCTCATAGTGGTGGCCATTAGCTTCCAGACATGTATTAGGACAGTGAACTGCTCAAGTCTATAGACATTTCTTTTTGGAAGACTGTACATCTAGCTTCCCCACTGACTCATGTTTCAAAGTCTCCAACAATCCCCTCTCTGGTAGAGTCAATAGTTCCCTCTCCTTTGCAAGAAAACTCTGCTTTATACATTTTATTTACTAAATTCATGGTTATCATAGTCAAGAAATATAATTCATATTTAGATTTTCATTCTCATAAGTGAAATATAGCTTGGCAAAATTTCCCAGTGAATTTCAAGTCACCAAAACCAATGGGCTTTTCATAGAAAGATTTTTATTCTTACTCTCTTTCTGTTCGGTAGTAAACTATTCTGACCTCTCTCTGGGTTATTCATCTTTCTTCTCTCCCACTTCATAAAACATAATAAATGTGTTTCAGTGAAGAGCATAAGTCCTCTTCATCTTAGCCTCTTTCAGGGAGTCAATCTGTTGTAAGAGTGTACCTATCCTCTCACCTGTGCACAAATTACACTCTGTTCTCTATCTGCAGCCCTTCTTGTATTCCTTAGTTCATCTGTAAGTGGCAATTGGAGTGGAGGATCAACTCTCCCACTTTCTGAAGTTCTTTGTCTCAAGTACTCCTCTGTCACTACAACCTGTCTTAGCAAATCTCCTACTGCAAGGGGCATTAGCCTGTCCTAATCACTGCCACCATATTATTTCCTCCAAATCAGTACTTTCCCCATGTCATTTATCAGCTATTATGTTCTTTGAGATGATTTAGTAAAAAACTACTGCTTCCCAAGATGTATCTTCAGGGGGAGAAATACCCAGAGGAGTCACGGGAAAAGTGGTTCATACGGTAAACAGGAAATGCACAGTATGGCCTCTTCTTGATTTTCTTAAAATTTCATAGAAAATCTCACAGGAAACAATCTTGTCTAGTTGGGATCCAACTCACATTTTCTAACTATACATAAGCAAACTTCCTGTCTCCCTCATTCAATACATACTATGAGACGTTTGGAAATGAGGCTTAGAGTAATGTTCAGTGATAATCTACTAGTCAAGTTCCCATTTAAAATATTGTTTCGATTTTTATGTTATATCTAAACAGTTCCTCAGCCCCCAAATTCTGCTACAGAGCAGAATTCTTACAGATGATATGATTTTATACATCTACAATTCCATTTGTTCTTGTTTTGTAGTCTCCTAACTTTCAACTATTGTTTTTCCTCTCGCTGAAAACACCATGTCTTCTTCTGTTATATGTGGTTTTAAGTTCAAATTCAAATATTTATTTTTCTATCCCAAATATATTCTAAGATCATTTTAATTCCATATCATTGATTGGAACTTAATCAACTTTCTTAAACAAATGTCACATCTTTTAGATTAAAGTAAGTTTCTCAGAGTTGAGACCAGGATTTAATTAATCTTCTAGCACTTCCCATCATGACTAGAATGCTTATCACAAGGTAGATGCTAAATATACATATGTTAATGAATTTATTTGAGGTTTGGAAATAATTTGTTGAGCCCATTCTGTCTTTAATGCCCTCTATATCCACTTCTGTACAGTGTTTTCACTTTTACTGAAAAGATCAGAGGGCAAGGTTTTAAATAACTTTGGATTCACACTTATTGATCATCAGATTGATAGATTCTCTTATTCA